GGGGGGCACAAAACAGCAAAGTTTGGGGAACTTCTTTACTTCTAGCACAGCACCAGCACTTAACATATGGACCAAACCTTTCTAGGGTATAAAATATGGCGGACGGAGAGTCATGGACAAAGTAAATTCCATTATCACCTTGCTTTGTTACAGTAATACCTACACTAAGATGTTTTTCAAGAGCCTATGCAGCATAAAATACATTCTGAAGACACAAAGATTAACTGCTGACCATGAAATGAGGGTAACTGTCCTGCTATAAAAGTAAACGCAGCACTGAGCTGCAGAAGGCAAATGCAATCACCTCAAAATGCTGCTTATGATTCAAACTGTCTACCATCAACCGGAAGAGGAAAAAAACAAAAAAAACTAAAGGTCATTTTGGGAGGGCTCAAAACCACAGCTTAAATAAGTGCAGACTTGCTCATGTGCAAGTTTTCTTTTTTTAAATGGGCACTTTTATTATAAAGGAGTTCCACTGTTATGAAAGATATAGTATTAGAGGTATAATGCTTTAAAACTATCAAAACAGTGCTTGATAATGCTTAGCCACAACACTGGCAGAGAGAGACAATATGACAGTTGAACAGGTGGTTCTGAACTCTCAGCTCAATCCTAGCTCAGCACTTAGGCTAACTAGATAACCAATTATTTATTTCTTCATCTATAAAACGTAGTTACTCATATGTCCTGTGGGTTATTTCAAGAATTAAATGAAATAATGCTTATCATTCAAGGTACTTTTTAAAAAATTTATAATACCATGTTAAAATTCCACATGGAATAACAGGAACTAGAATGCTAATGGAAATGTAAACTAGTCATCAAAATTAGAATATTTTACACAAGCATTGCTTTTTAATCTGGCAATCTCCCTTCCAGGAACTTCTTTTGTAAGGATGTAAGTGTGCAAGTAATGTACACATAGAATGTTCACCATACTTTCCACTTACAAAATAAAAGACTGGGAAACTACCAAAGCATCACTGAACAGGAAATTGGTCAAATAAGTTATCACACACCTTCACAAGTGGAATACTATGGAGCCAACGAAAAGGATAATGGAGACCTATTCTGTAGTTTGACATATTTGTGAATAAATAAAAATCAAAGAAAACATATATTGAAACATTCCACTGAATAAATATTATAGTTCATATTTGTGGACAAATATTCAGAAATCTAAAAAAAAAGTTCATCAAAGGATTAAAGAAAGGAATAACATTTCCAGGAATGTTTTGCTTTTTTTGTTTATATCTTGGTGTATGGACATTCTTGTGTTCCTGTGGGCAAGTTACTTAACTTCACGTATTTCAGAGGACTGTAGAGAAAATGTGCTTATACATATAAAGCACCTAGAATAGTTTTCAGAGCACAGTATTATGTACTCTACAGATGTTTTATTATTAGCATATTTGTTCCACATTTCCACAATTAACAGAAAAAGCTCTCATCAGGAAGAATATAGAAAACTAACAGTTTTTCCCACACTTCAACAGTAGGTTGTCTTTTCGGTAAATTTGTGGAATGATGGGAGGAAAAATGAGGTCAGTTTGTAACAGAAACTTTTAACTTCTCCAAAATTAAGATATACCAGGAATAAGTAAAGCCACACAGGATGGAGAAAAAGCAGGTTTACAGTTGTTCATATGGAAAATAATACAAGAATAAACTATGTTTTGTGTACTCATAGCTGTAAACCTACTTTTGCCCACCCTGTATACAGTTTGGAAGCTTGAATGTGAGTGAAATCTCCCTCAGTACTGGGGAAATGGTACAGCCACGTTTGGCAGTTAAGTTCAAAAACTGACAAGCCTACCCTCTCAGATAAAACCACCTGCTAACTACCAAGTTTTAAAAAAGTAATCTGCACAACAGTCAACAAAAGTAACTTTTTAAAGTTATAAAATATGCAAGGGGGAAAAACGAGCACTACTAAATGTGGTAAGCTCACTGCTCAAGAAAATTAGTTTTGCGAAATAATATTCAGGTGACATAGAAATGACTACACAAATGTCCCTCCAAAATATCTCAGAACTTGGGCTTTATTACAGGTAGATGTCATATAATAACCAAGAGAACCAATCATATAGACCTAGAAAGTCCAGTTTTACAAAGGATATCTGTTTTGCAAGAGAAAGGGACCAATCCATGTACGTATAATAGGACCACTAATCCCAAGAAAATCATTTAAATGATACTCAGACACACAAATATGAATAAGTAAATTCATTCCCTCCCAGTGTATTTTGTTTCAGTCTGAACTGTGAGAGACAACAATTGCATCTGAGCCAGATAATAATTTATTTTGGTTCACAGGAACCAAGAACCAAGTGTTCCCCACTTTACTGACACATCACGAATGTCACTAAAATAGGCTTTAATGACTCTTAACTAGTCACAGTATGTGTGCTGTAATAGAAAAAGCAAGAGGCTAAGAGTAAAAATGGAAAGTCAAGGACTAAATCCAGCTGTGAACTGTGTAAGGTTGCACAAGCCACCTTAACAACTCTGGGTCTCCCTTTCTCATCCCTTAAGTGGAGCTGATTTCACTCTTTTAAAGTCGCCTCCAGCTCTAAACAGTCTGTGACAAGCACCTCTAATACTCCAAAGTTTTGTTGGGGGGCGGGAGGCGCACAGACTAAAGAGAGAAAACTAAAGTCTAACATTGCAAACTAAAAAATTTACAAGATTAAAATGTTACACACTTCTACTTCCCATATTCAATACAAGGGAAGGTATCAAGGGTACACTCTAACCTACTCTGGATTATACTCCAGACACAGTTACCTGGAAATCAATGCAAATGAAGGGCGTGAAGGGGGTGAACAAAAATTCACAAAAGTTATACAGATAACCTGACACAGTAATTCTGAAACATGGACACACACAATAAAATAATAAAACTATTCAAAGTATTTGGATACTCAGGCTTTTGTGTCTTTCCCTGAATTATCCAAGTATCTTTACTTCAGGAATGAAAACTCACATTGGACAAGAAACGCTTTTGACGCCACCCTTAAATTCATCTGTACCTTTAAAAAGAAACGCTAAGGGAAAGGAATCTGAAACACCACGAGTCTCCGTGTGGAATTTCGACTCTCAGCCTCCCCGCGGGCGATTCTTTTGCCATAAATACTAAAAACATTTTTTTGAAAAGGCTCTTCTTGTTTCAGAAGCTATGTATGAATGACGGCGGGTGGGGTAGAAATCAAGAACTTGCTGGCAAAAACAATGCCTTCTAATTCCTACCCCAGGAGCGCCTACCCACTGCTCGAGCCAAAGCAGGAAATAAAGGAGATGGCGGGAGAGTGGGCAGGGAGCGGAAGTTTGCCCAGCGTCTACTTTGTAGTGTTTGAATGGAATCAGCTCGCGCTCTCCCGCCAAAGCATAAAGGCGGGGGGCCCCAAACCACCAGCCTGCTGCCATCAGGTGTACTCCACGTTTTCCTTTCTCCCGCAGGCCCTCTCCTCTCCCTTCCCCCGGGAACTCCCCGTCCGCACGCCTCACTCAACTCCCGCCACCCCCATACCGGCCGCCAGGAATCCACGCGCTTCGCTCCCTTCCCGCCCTCCTCTTTTCTCCGGGATGGGCACCCACCCGCCCCCAAGGCCCTCTCCCC